TTTCAAAGGTGAAAAATAAAGAACATGTTCTTTGATTAAAAATGACGAGACAATCATTTTCTGGCTCTGGACTGTAGAGTATAAATATGGGCATTAAAATAATCTATAAATCAACTAGAGCCGAGAGAGGTTGGATGCACCAATGCAATGAAGCTGTGGATTTATAGCCTGCATAGGACTTTCACGTATCTGACCCTGACAAATTCCTGTATGCTGGGCTTATGAGATATTCATGTTCAGTGACATTAACTGAGACTTCTCTGGCCTGCCACTTCGTCCACTGAACCTGGGTTCTAAATGCGTTACTGCCTATTCGACCCTTTACACTTCTCAGTAAACTTCTGCTGAGAGTGAAGTTTCTAGGTTGCTCCAAACAATTATTGAGTTTCATGTGGTTAAATTATTTGCTGTGTTTTGGATGGATAGAGTGTACGTGGAGGTGTGTGTGGCCGGGGGTACACCAGGTAAAGCTGTGAATTTTATTTTTGTAAAAGCTATGACCTCAAGTGTCCTTTTCTAAGGACAATATGTTCCTTCAAATCTGTAAAACTTAATAGTGGATAATAAGGAAAGTAACTTCATGATTGAACATAAAATCTTACAAGTGATGTCCATATGTACTGTTACTTTCCAAGTCTATTTTTCATGTTAGAAAGTAAGCACAGTCAGGTTCTAGAAGTGGAGCACAATCTGTTTTAACCAAAAATATAAATGATATCTTAGTAAGTTATTTATTAAAATGAAAAATAAATCAAGATCCAAGAAAACGGCTAAATGCTTAAGTGATATGTTGTGTAGTGAATTGTCCATAAAGATTTTCTAGGGTGAAGAATTCATACAAATATAAGTGCAAATCTCTCTTTTTAATTTTAAAGCATATCATTCAAAGTTTTAGCTTGTGTGCATGATAGAAACACCATACACTGTGTTCTGTGACAATACAAAGCTCAGTTCATTAAAAACTGAATTAAAAATTAAAATAACTCTAAAAATGGGTCAGAGTTTTGTCATTGGTATGTGGAGGCTATTCCACGGACCCACCCAGAGCTCCTCTTCATCTGATGGTGTGTGGTCACTGTGGAGGTCCACCATCTCTCTGATGACATTGCTGTCCACCATAGACTCCTGCTCAGCTGTGTCCTTCAGTCTGGTCCCTGGTGGCTTCACTGCCGACCAGCCAGCCACCACCGGGCATGGGATGAACGTGACCAGAGTTGGTCTTCTGTTCACTTTCTCCGTGGAAAATGGCCCCTTGGACAGTGTGTTCAGTGGCACTTTCTCCTCGTGTGTCACTGCCAAATTGTCTAGTTTCTTAAAATGCCTCCACATCCTCACAGGGGATGGGACTTTCAAGGTATCAGGGAGGCAGGCACGGCGTGTTCTCACCACAGAGCCATTCTGTGCGATGTAGATGTTGCCATGATGCTGCTGTGGCCGCATGGCTTTTGAGGACGGTTTTTCTGATACTCGGGAGCGCTGTCTTCCCCTGTGGAGCTGCTTTCATACTCTTGGTCAACCACTAGCTTGATCATCCTTTTTCTTGACCACTGAGAAAATGAAAAGCAACAACACGCCAGTCATTCTCAAAAGGTCCATGCACCCAAAACAGTATTTGGAAAGGTGTCACAGTAAACCATCAAGAGGGGGACCAGGCCCCATCCTTTCACCCACACTGTACTCAGTCAAAGTTTAAAATATTTGAGTAAAGTATTGCTGAGCTTGCAAATAGCATAACAGGAAAACTTTCTTTACATAAAAATACTCTGCAATATGAAAACAAAGATGTCCTATCCATATTTAGCTAAGGATCCAACCCTGTGTCTTAGAGCTGTTCAACCGTGCAAAGGAAGTTGCATGGGAACCATGGCCAGATGTCATATATTGTGTTCATCTTAATGCCTCTCCTGATAGTTTTAAGATATTTCTAGATGCACACAATTTTAATTTGTAACTCATTCACTCTTGTTGGTCAGATAAAGCATCTTGTTTTTCTGGGTTATTTCTCTTAAACTCAGCTTACTTAAAGGAAAATATCTGCCCATTGTGCATGATTATATAGGACACAAAACAGAAACACTACTTTTTCAAGCAACTGAAATACAATGAACATTTATTCCCACTCAGTTGTCTTTTACCAATTAGCATCAGAAATGGCCAGGAGCAAATGTTAAACAATACTGCACTATTCATTCTAAAAACAGTAAGGCAGTTTTTGGTCAATTTGACCTCTCTACACTTTATGGTGAGTAAACCACACTTTCTGGTCTCCAGATGAGTATTTTAAATGATTGTGTGTACTTACCCAGAGGAGAAGTTGTAACCATTACAATAATTTTTTAACTCAACTCATATCCACCCAGAAAATAAATTGTAGTCACTTTTAATTTTTAAAAGTCTGATTCATTTAACTCCTAGTGTTTGAAAGTGGTGGATACAGAGCTACATGAACGTAGGAGGATCTTTGATAATGCCTTCACCAGGGGCCAAACTTTGCAGAAGCAAGTAGTGATCTAGTCTGCTGCTGCTTGCCATTCCTAGTGTTTGCTCTACCAAAATGGCATATTCTGCATGCACGTGTATGTATATCTTCCATCACAATAAACAGGTATCACTGAGGACACTACTTTGTGCAGTAAAAATTACAGAAAACAGTCACTACTGATTAGCTGGCATGTTTTCCTATTTGCCAGTATAGAAAAAATAGTTCTGATAGAACATGTTCCAACATGCATATCTATTTTTGGTAGCATGTATATTCACTTTTTTTTTTTTGTTTTTAGCATACTTTTGATCTTGTCAGAGCAAAATTAAGGCTAATTTCCACCTTGCCAAGAGTTGTTTTGGAGAGCACACAGACGGCACAGCACACAGGTGCATACATCACAGCAAACCTCCACCTACTCTGAGTTCTTCTAAAGTGCTGAGCTGTCACCTTCGGAGCTCGCTCCTGGAGACTTCCTTTGGTCTGTGTACCTGCATCTGACATAGTCTGGTACCTGGAAGCCCCACGGACCTCCAGATAGACTCTCGTTAGTGCTGCTGCTGCTGCTGCTGCTGCTGCCGGCTTCTGACTCCTCCTCGCTCTCCATACCTCCCTCCATGGAGGCTGACCGTGTGCTTCCTTCCTCCAGGACATCTCTAGCTTCCAGGTCTATGGACTCCTCCATAGGGAATGGCTCACTTTCCTCCCATTCTGGGTGCGCCTCCTCTTCTTCATCCCTGGGAGATGCTTCCTGCTCTGGAGGCGGCTCCTCTCTCTCGCCTTTAACCTCCCTGACCTCTGCCATGGGCCTTCTTCTTGCTAGCACGATATTTTTTCTCGCCTTTTCTGCTTCCGACTCGGTGGACTCCGACTCCTCCGACTCCGGGGTGGAGCTCTCCTCCTCCTCAGACCAGGTCTCTGACTCCGACTCTTCCATGGTTTCTGACTCACTGAACTCAGACTCCGTTTCCGTGTACTCGGTGTAGTCACTGGACTCCTCCTCAGACTCCACGGTGCTTTCAGTAGCTTCCTCTTAGTCGAGAATCAGTTTCAGATAATCCTTGTGTTCTTCCTCCAGGGGCCTTCTCCATGCCTCGTCCTCAAGGTCGGTGCCTCGTCTCTCAGCAAGTCCTCTGACTTTCTTAAAAATCATAGGGAATATCCTGGCCCTCTTCCAGGCCGGGTACGTGGGCTCGGCGGCCGGCGGCTTTTCGACAGTCACCACTACCTCCTCCTCACTAGGCTCTCTAATTTCAACTTTTGGTTTTTTTATTTTCTCTGGCTTTTCCTGAAAATTTTGAAAACACAATTTAAATGACGGTTTGATGACTTTGTCCCTCATAGGTTAAGCAGAAATTAATATTTTGGGAGATAGCCTCACACAAGTGATGTTTCCATAAAGAAAAACAAAATTTTGTAGACAAGCTGGCTGGCAGACATTAGATTATTTTATTGTTGGCTTTATAGTCTAGTATCAAAAATGTAATGAGTTCTCTTTTCATAGTTTCTTTTATTTCTTAGATTAAGAAAGAATAATCATTGCCTTTTAAATTTTCTCTTAATCTAGATAATAGCTTGTGAGCTTTGTGCCAAGTCTCAGAATTTTTAAAAATCATGAAAACATGTTACTTAACTTCAAAGCTTAGGGAAAATCTAACTATTTTATTGAATTTTAAACCAGTTAGAAATGCAATAACACTGATTTCTTGGCGGTAGAGGATTATTTGCAAAATAAAAATTTTAGGCAAAGTGTAAAAAATTGAAAGAAATGACAGGCTATTTTAAAAATGAATTACATGATATTTAAAAGATACTGGTGAATATTGTTTACTCTCTGGTAGTTGA